GAGGAGCAGAGACTGAGGCTCCTGCTCCCCAGGCTTCAGCTGCGGCCCCGAGCCGGGCCCAGGCCAGCCCCCGGCGGGAAACTTCCCCGTAGTGGGGCAGGCCCTGGGTGTCAGGGCAGCCGGCGAGGCCACTGGGGTGGGGATGCGCCTCTGCCTCTGCCTCCACCACAGCATCTAGGTCAGCGTCTTCCTTCCCAAACCGCTCCCAGCCCGCCTCTTGCTTCGTTTGGAGGTGCGAGCTTGTTAGAGGCACGGAAGCTATTGTTAGAAACCATGTCGCCCCCCGCCGATGGCCCCTGCAGGGCCCTGCACTCCACGGCCCACCCAGAAGCCTCTGTTCCTGGGCAGTGCACAGTGGTGGAAGGAGAGCTGGAAGCAGGGCACCAGGCCGGTCCCTATGCCTCCATTGCTCTGTCTCAGAGTCCGGGGTTTGTTACCCCCAGACGTAGACACAGCCCGGGCCTCCGGAGGCAGGGCTGGCCCGCTCCCCGGCCCTAGCCCCTGGCCCAGCTGCTTCAGGCCTCTGATGTCTGTGCCCTCCTGGTGCAGACGCCTGTCCCGAGACTCCGGCCAAGTGTACTCTTCTTCACGGAGACATGAGCCTGAAGAGAGGCCTTGGGGTGGGGGCACTCGGCGGCAGCCCAGCCTCTGGTTTGTGAACCCACAGGGCTGAGGAGGCAGTTCTTTGGAGGCTGGGTCAGAGGACAGGAGAGAAACCAACACGCGCCGAGTACCGTGGGTCAGTGTGGATGTACCCGCCTGGTCCCCACACCGCGCTGGGGGCTGACGTTTACCTACTCGCCTCGCAGGATGAGGCCACCGAGGCTCAGAGTAGAAAAGACATTTGCCAACGTGGACGAGGCAGTGCCCGGTCCTTGCTCTGCAGTGAAGAAACTGCAGGAGGACGAGTGGAGCTGGGCTTCCCCGAGTGCCGCACGGGGCAGGGTGACCTGCCTAGGCCACCCACCGTGAGCTGGGAGATGAAGGTGGCCAGCCCCATAGTCAGGACAGTGTCGTAACAGGGGCTTTAATGAATTATAAGAAGCAAGGTAAATATTTGCCCATGAGCTGCCTGGCAGGTGGCCTCCCGCCCAGCCCGCGACAGGGACACACAGGGTCAGCAGCCTGTCCCAGCAACGTTCAGCCTTGTTCTCGGCAACCACGTCCCAGGTACCAGAGGGCGTCGTCGGGTGGGGTGGCTGTCCCTGCAGCTCACGTACCTTCTGTCTGACGCCCTCCTCGCCGGTTCTTCCCAGGAGGCTCAGACCTGTGGCTTTGGGGTGCCTGAGAACCATCTGCAACACCCCTCAAGCTCCCCACCCCAGGTCTGTGCCTTCACCTCTGTGCCAGCTCCTCCCCACCACGCTCAGAGATATCATGTCGGAGTCCCCCTCAGGGGACACCGTGACGAAGGCCGTTCCCTTGAGCTGCATCTGGCGGGCGGGCGCCTTCCCCCACCGCCATAGACTGTCCAGCAGAGCCCTGCCCACCCCCATCCCTGTCACTGTCACTGTCCCCTCAGTTCCGGAGACCCTGCCGCACACTCTGGGCCGTAGTCACTGCTGAAACCACGGCAAAGTTGAACCCCAGCAAGGCCTGGGTTGGGGAGAACTCAGGTATGAGGAGAACGGAGGTGAGGAAGGGGGAGGGGAGTGGCTCATGGAGAGCCCTCGCTCGCTCTGACAGCCTGGACATCTAGACGTGGCCTGTTCATTTCGGCGACACGCATTCCTCAGGCAGTCAGCACGTGTTTCTGGTGCCTTCCTGCGCCGACTGCAAGGAACGCAGGGTGGGAGATGCAGGAAGATCCCGTCAGCGCAGCCTGCGAGCACATGACGGGCATCTGGGACGGTGAAGTCCACGGAGGAAAGGAGTCAAGCCCAGGGCCCGGCGAGGAGGGAGGAGGCCCATCGGCCACATCACTCAGGGAAAGGAGGCCTCTCCCTGGAAGGGACATCTGAGCTGAGACAGGGTGACGAGGAGCTGGTGCAGAGACAAAGCCAGATGGAACGGCAAGCTCAATGCTGAGGCCCTGGGCAAGAGGTGGCTCAGGGAGCTGAAGAGGGCCGCATGCCTGGAGGCCGTGGGCCAGGACACTGAGGGCCCCCACTGGCGGGGCAGAGTGGTCCCTTAGCTGCAATGAGAAGTTACTGGAGGGTTTGAAGCAAGGGCGACATGGTCTGGCTTATGTCTTGATGTGATCTTCCCAGGCGCTTGGCTGAGGGTGGGCTGGAGGGGCAGGGAGTCTCACTGGGAGGGAAGATGGGCACCTTGGGGGTTCAGATTAGGGTCATATTGAGGCCTATAGTTGAATTTTTTTTTTTTAATTTGCCAAAGGGTATGTGTGCTCTTCAGAGAGAGAGATAGAGAGGCCAAGAGAAAAAGCACCCCCCATGAGGTGTGGTCATACCTCAATCCCTTCTCATCTCTCCATCCTGTCGGGATTTTGGATTTGCACACACATGTGCCAAGCGTGGTCTTCAAGCCACCAACTGCATGGCCGGCCACGTGCGGTCCAGTACCCTCAGCCGCTAGGCCATGGGGCTGACCCGATTTTGAGATGTCGGCCTTGGACGTAGAGCCAGAAGGATGTGGCCTGGACGTGGAGAAGGGCAGGCAGGGAGGGCCCAGGGTGCTGGTGGGTTTCGTTGCTCAGCTGCACCAGCTGTGAGATAGAAGACCTGATTCCAGCCGTGACCACCTGGAGACAGCTGAAGGCAAGAGCCAGTGACCGCCACTCTGAGGCCACCTGTGTGTCTTGGGCATGAGAGACATGAGGGCCAGGGAGACCTCCGGGTTTGGAGGGACAGTGGAAGGAAGGCTATCTCCATTGGGTGACTGCCCACCTCTGAAGCTCCACATACTAACAACCCCCATCCTGGGGAGTCCCTGAGCACATGCGCTTGCCAGAGAGACAGAGACAGAGAAAAGGTGAGAAATCTCCTCCCAGAAGGATGGCCAGGCAGCAATCCCTTCTCTGTTCTCCTCTTGGGATTTTGGGCATGCATACACACATGCCCAGCATGAGTTTTAAGCCTCTGGATCTGGGACTGGGACCGCGATCAACTGCATGGGAGTCCAACGACGTAACCATTAGGCTATCTGCTCGTCCCACCGTTCCTTTTTTTTAAAGTTCATTTCTCTCTCCCATGGGGGGATACCTTTCGCGCCACGATCCACCCCCAGTCTTAGCCAGCTGGGGTGGCAGCACACACACAGCCCCCAGGATGTGCAGGGGATCTTCAGGGTACAACTCCAGGTCTTCCCCCATGAACCGGCATTACAGGGTTAGTGTGTCACCACTGTGCCACCGCGGCTGGCTCGTCACTAACCTTCCTAAGCCTTGGTAGACCAGGATGCCAGCCGCCCTGACCATCCTCTGGAGTGGCTTGCAACTCAAGGCAGTGTGTGTGCATGTGTGCCTAAAATCCTGAGAGGAGAACGAGGAAAAGGGATTGTGGTGTGGCCACCACCCCCCACCCCCCAGGGTGATTTCTCACTTTTCCTCTCACTGTCTCTGCCACTCTCTGGTGAGCTCACACACCTTATGGCAAAAACCTAAAAAAAAAAAAAAAAAAGGAAACGCTACTGACGCACTCAGGGTCAGAGCTGCTGGCTTCACCCACGTGTTCAGGCGGGAGCAGGCTCTTCCCCCAGAGCACATGCTCAGGGGTCTGCTGGGGAAGGCGGGGACCCAGGTGTTCGGGGCACAGCCAGCAGTGGAGGGCAGGCCTCGCAGACAGGCTCAGCATGTGCACAGCTGCCCTGCCTGGTCTCCGATGTCCACTGTTCCAGCCCGGCCACGCAGGCCCTGAGCCGGGCGAGTGGGATCTGGTCACACGTTCAGCCTCTCTGGGCCCGGTTACCTTCCCTGCACAGCGTAACTAGTGAAGACCGCCCTCCCTCCCTGGGCCAGTCTGACAACCTTGTGTGAGGCGACAGGCCTCGGATCTGGGCAGCCCGGGTTCAGAGTTGGGCCCTGCCATGGCCACCGACACCCCGGGGAAATGCTTTTCCTTCTCTGCGCGTCAGTGTCAAATGGACTAAGAATGTCTTCAGCAAAGGGTTTTGTGAGCGTAAACGAGATAATGACCGTGGAATCACGTGCTTACAGTCAGTGCAGCTGTCCCCTCTGTCGCTGGGGCCATGTCGATGAGGGGACAGGTGGGAGCCACCAGGCTCCGTGAACTTTTCAGCTCCTGTTTCATCCTGGAGAGACTCCACAGCCTTCCAACCAGAGCATGTGGGGTGAGCCCTTCGTGGGGCCGGAGCCATGGGCAGACGTGTTCATCTTTGGTCTCCCGAAACCCAGACGCGGGCGCAGCCCCCATTGCCAAAGGGGAAAGCAAGGCCACTAATGTCAGAAGAGCCTGTCACTCGCCACAGCACTGACACTCCGAGGCCACTCGACGGGTTCAAAATATCTAGGGTCTATCTCTTTGGGTCTCAGTTTCCCCATCTGAAATGGGCTTTTGACAAGTTCATGTGACCCCGAGTCCTCTCCAGAAGGAGTGTCTTGGCCTGAGAGTAGTGTGGGAGAATCAGAACTGGGGGTGGCTGGCTAGGGCACCCCTCAAGGTCTCCCAGGCCAGAGTCCCAGATGCCTCCCTGCAGACTCCCGTCCAGCACGTAGAGCTGCTGTCACTGTGCTGACCCGTGCTGACCCGTGCTGCGGGCTGGACTCCGGGCTGCACACACCCGGAGCCTCCGCTTGGCGCCGAGGCTGGGGTGGGTGCTGTACCTTACTGAACTGGAGGGGAGAGCGTTTCTGCTAATACATGTTAGCACATGGCAGAGTAATGATTGATAACTAAGTATCCATAACAACGGTTCGCGATTTATCGACCACTTCGACGCCCAGCACGAAGCACTTTTCTAGATGGGACGACGCGATGAGGGAGGTTCAGTGACCATGTCAAGGTCACCTACCTAGAAATCGGGAAGGAACCAGGCCCGGGAGTGGGGTCTGTCTGAGCTTGGGTCTGCCCAGCCCAAGTACTGCCCCTGACCCACCGAGGGGCCTCAGGCTGGGTGTTTGTCCTGACACCTGGTACATGGTGAGGTGGTCTCTCTGCCCTCTCTTGGGCCACCTGGGGCTCCCACTACCTTCTTTGCACATGTTATGTGTAGCCGGCCCTTCACGGGAGTCCCCATGTCTGCACGGTCCCCACAGCCCGCCCCGCCTGGCCTCGCACTGTGGGCGCCCCACAGAGCCCGGCAGAGCGGAGCCCGGCAGCCACGGGCGCAGGGCAGGGGCTGACCTGGCCACGCCCACCTGTGCCGCAGATCTTCCACATGACCTACGACCTGGCCAGCGCCGTGGTGCGCATCGTCAACCTCATCGGCATGATGCTGCTGCTCTGCCACTGGGACGGCTGCCTGCAGTTCCTGGTGCCCATGCTGCAAGACTTCCCCGACGACTGCTGGGTGTCCATCAACCACATGGTGGTGAGTGGCCTGGGCAGGGGCTCGGGGCCCTGGCGTGTGGAGGTCCATCCCACCAGCCCCAGAATCCCCCGCAGCGGTGGCTGTGAGCCGCCACTGCCACCTCTCTCAGCCTCCACTGCAGCGGGCAGCCAGAGGCCTGGGCGACTGCAGACCTCGATCAGGAGGGCAGATGCCCGGACCACGCCGGCCACTGTCTGCTCCAGCTCCAGCTCCAGCTCCGGTTTGGGCTGGGCTGCCCCCAACCCCGAACCTGCACTCCCTGGTCAAGGGTGGACTTGTGAGTGGGGAGGGTACAGAACGGAGCCTGACCCCACCCTACCGGAGCCCCATAGGTGGCTGAGAGAAGTGGGAGCTGGGGCATTAAAAGTCACAGGACAGAGTTCCCCAGTCCTCCATGGACACCCCTGCCCGTGAGCCTTCCTCTGGCTTTTCCCTGCGTCTTCTTTCTCCTTCCCAGCCGGCCAGGCTTGGTCTGAAGGCAAATCCCCAGGGCCCTAGGATAGCTCAAACCAGCTTTAAAAGAGGTGAAAGAGACCCTGAGGCATCTTTCAGCATCAAACGGGGCCTTACAAAACAGCCTTTTGATGAGCCGAGTGTAAATGAATCCGCCATATGGATCCCATTTCCTTGACACCCAGATGCTCACGAGGAAA